GATCACTCCTCTTGGACTTTCAAATCTTTCTACTATATATGTAATTTTTTCATACTTTAATTAGATATACGTAGTATATGTTTTCGTCCCCCTTAACTTTTAGTTTTCCATTAGTCTTTGATAATGTAATACTCCGTACTTAATAGAAGATTTAAAAGAAGTGGCATCTAAAATAAATTAAATAACTTGAATAAATAAACAATTGCACAATTTTTTAATTGTTTAAGACTTAGGATACCTATTATATAAAGATTCCTTATTTTGTAATGCTTAAGTATCTTTATTGGATAATTAATACTCAATTTTATAAAATATCAAACGATATTCAATATCGGACACACTAGTTATTAGTTAAACAATTTTTACATCATTTGAAGTAATTCCAAAACATAAATATTTATTGACATTAAATTACACATTTTATTTACTTCTTACATTCTAAAAACAATTTGTGGCATATACATATATATAATAAACTTTAACGTATTTTTAGCACTAATACAAATATAATATGCACCATATATATGATGAATTAACAATACTACGTATAATATTATTCTAAAAATAATAATCTCATACATATTAATATTAAGGAAATTTCTCGTGACTCACGAACACCCTCCTTAATAGACAAGAGTTGCAATTCAAAAAACAATTTTTTATTCTGATGAGATTCATGTGCATGCTTAAACAAGGCAGGAGTTATTTAAAAATCATTGGTTGATGTGTACCTTTTAAACTCTTTACCTTTAAATAATTTGATAAAAATGTTATATATCCTTTTTATTTTCAAATAATTTTCCTTTGATTTGTCATTTCTTACGCTTTAATGTATCAATACTTTGTTCTACATAAGTTGTTAATGAGCCGAGCCGAGTCTGAACACCCAAAGCTCGAGTTCGACTCGATAAGGAATTAGTGGTGTTCGGGTTCGAGCTCGAAGCTCGGCAACCTTTACAAACGAGGCTCGTGTTCGAATCGATAGGCGTTCGATGTTCGAACCGAGCGCTCGATAAGCTCGATAAATATGCTCAGATTTAAAATTTCACGTTATGCTCGTTAATAGGCTCGTGCTCGAATAATTCGACAAGTATTCGGTTCATTAATAATCATATTTATATTCATAAAATCATAGTAATTATATTTAAATATGGACATGTATAAAAATTATATTTATAATTTCACAGTGTTCAATAGGCTCGATTTCAAACCGAGCCGAATACTACTATGTTCGAGCTCGGCTCGATTAGTTTTTCGAACTTAAAACTCAGCTCGGGTTCAGGTTTGAAAGCTCGTTAAGCTCGGCTCGTTTGGTTCAAAACCGAGCTCGAACTCGAATAGTTCGATAAAAGCTCAGTTCGTTAACAACCCTAGTTCTAGAGCACTTATAGTTATAAAATCAAAGTTATTTTCCCATTGTCTAAACTTAATTAGAATGTTATAGATTTAAATATATCGTGTATGTGTACTAATGGATTTTTTCAATGAAAATTAGCCGCAGAACCCTACACTAGCAAAAAAAATTGCAGCGCTACAAAATCAATTTTTTTCACCCCCTACACTAACGAAAAAAATTCTACCCCCCTTGACACAGAATCCTGGACCCGCCCTTGAGATGAAGGGGAAGCTAAAACAAACAATGAACGAAAAAAAGGAAGTGGAGAAAGAAGAGGTTCTTCCATGCGGCAAGGTATGCCTTAAATTGATTTTATTTAGTGTTTTAAAATCATGAAATAATGTCTTTAATAGAAATGAAAAATGCTATTTGATGTACTTTTCAAATAGGGAATATCGCACTATTAGTCTGTTGAGGTTTATTCCTTCAACCTTTGGGTCCAACACTGTTGAGGTTTATTCCTTCAACCCCCGGGTCCAACACGTAAGCCCAAGGATTTCGAATGGAGTATGTGATTAAACTAGCCCAACAAGCAGATGATATGGATTGGGAAAGCAGTAAGGTAGCGAGTAAATGATTAGGTATTATTATCTCTTAATAACTCCCTAATACAATACTTTTCGCTAAGGCTCCGTCGGCCGTTCGTCTTACAAGGCAGTAGAAGTGCTGCGAGTAAGAATGCTATAGCTAGAGTGCTAATAATAGAAAGTTGTCAACCCTTTACAATGAAATAAATGCTTCTATTTATACCCGCCAATGGGCAGGTGGCTATGCTGACGTGGAGGCCTGCGGACCGCTTGTGTCCCAACCACCAAATCTTCTGCATTAAATGCACTTCCCGCCAGAATCTAGGCTTCCCGCCTAAATAATGGGGACGTTCGTCCGCCAGGGGGTGAGCTGGGTCACCCCAAGTGACCCTCAAGAGACTTCGGCTGTTCGTCCCCTGACCTTGGTGGATTCTCTCCATGTGGACTGGATCTCCTCCGACGATCATGGGCCTGCCCAGGAGACGTTCGTCGTTATCCCTGATGGCCAGTGGTCCTGCCCCTTACCTCTGCACATACGTTCGTCGCGATGGGCCGTTTGAAACCTGGACCCCCCAATTCCAGACGTTCGTCTCTTCCCAAGGGTCATGGGCCTGCGCCCAGCCTGGTCCTAGCATGACGTGCGTCCGATAGAAAAAAAGGGGTTAATGGGCCGGACCTCGGCCTGGGCCATTATCCCAACACAAGTCCCCCACTTCTGATGTTCTGGGCATGCGCAGGACATAAGGAAGTATGGATGCCCCGAAATGGACGTCCGTGTCTTGACACTTGTGTCTTATTGCATCTGGCGGAAGCGTACGCTCGTGGTCATGGTGCTTAGCAGCTGTCGACGGTTCAGGAAACGAGGTGACGGCTGCTGTAGCGGCGGTGCATTTTCCGAGGAAATGCCATCATTACGCTTTCGTCCCACGCACAGCGCGTGAGACGGAATACGCTCCTTGCCACGTGTCCATCCCTCGTTGGTCCCCCCATCGGTGTCTCTCCTATAAATGCCGGGTTTTCCCTCTGGGTTAGGGTTCCCGATTTCTGCTCTCTTGTCTTCGAAATTCCGCAGCTCTTCAAGTCTTCTCCCGCTTCCAAGTTCGGCTAATCCCTCTAAGGTAACTTCCATCTTCTGCTTCTTTTTCTTGCCTTGAATTCTTGTCGCGATGGTTTCGATGGAGATCTCGTCAAGTTCTGGTTCGGGTTCATCGGGTTCCTCCTCGGGTTCCTCTTCCGACTCCGGTTCACGCTCTTCGGGCGAGGTTAGCACTTCCGGTAGTTCTGGCTCGGCCCCTACCGTGGGAACTGTTCAGGCCGGGGAAACCCAAATTGGTGTTGTTGCGACTGTCCCTGGTGAGGAGGGTGCTGATTCGGGGGAGCAAAACAGTATGGCTCTCGATGTGGTGGATCCCGTGGTTGAAGACGGGGAACAGGAGTCCGCCAGTGAGGACGGTCGTCCGGACGGATATGATTCTGGGGTCGAGGCCCAGGACGGTTCCGACATCGAAGTTTTTGACCTCGGGCTAAAGATAGATGTGGAGAGGCATCTATGCCCGATCAAGAATGTCCTCTGTCATGAGCAGATCTTCTCACCGGTGGCCCTTAACAAGCTCAAGGTGTTCTTCCCCCCTCCGTCCGTGTACAGCCTCCGCGGCGCAACCCACGTGATGAGGAGACGTCCAGGGATGATTATGGTGCTTCTGGACTCCATCGAGGCTGGGTTGCGTTTCCCTCTCCATCCGTTCTTTGTGGAATTCTTTTGCTGTTACCAGATAGCCCCCGCACAACTCATGCCGAACTCCTATCGGTTCGTCTCCGCCTTCCTAGTCCGCTGCAAGGACAATGGGGTCACCGCCACTTTGGACTTGTTCCATTACTTCTACCGGCTCACCCCCCAAAATTCTGACGGTTTCCTGAGCATTGCAGCTCGTCCGAAACGGAGGCTGTTCAGCGGAGCACCGAGTTCCATCCATGACTGGAAGAATCGGTTCTTCTTCGTGTGGTATGCTGATGCTCGTCTGCCATTGCGTTGGAACGGCTATCCGCCCAAGATAGGATCTCCGGAGCTGACCAACGACCTGGAGGAGGACGTTAGAAAGATCTCGACGGGCGGCATCCGGCCATTAGATGATTTCTTAACCTTCGAGGCGCTTGCCGCGGCAGGAATAGGTACCGCCCATGCTCTTGGACATCTCCCCTTCTACGCTCGTCTCGGGGTATTGGGCGGTCCTCTCCTCCGAGGTGAGTTCTTCCTGACGCTCGTCCATCTAACCCATTTCCCTTGTTTTTCTTTTTCAGGTCTTCCCCCAACCCAGGAGCAGATGAATCACGAGAAGCTCCTCAAGAATCGGAAGGGGAAGGGTGCCGCGGCCGATGCTGCCCTTGCCAAGGCCAAGGCCGCCCAAGCAGCAGACTCTAATTCTTCCGCCTCCCAGGCCGATCGTCGCACGGTGGAGGCGGAACAGCATCTTATCGCCACGGTGATGGCACAGGGGTCCCAGGCCCCCGTCCTCAATCCTGTCGTTCCCGAGGTCGTGGCGCCCCTGCAGGCCGTTCATCCGCATGAGGGGGAGAAGGCGCGGGACAAGAAGTCCAAGAGGCCTCGGGGGGCTTCCTCTTCGGCCCCCGAAGAGCAAGGGCTGATCCTCCCTTCCCTTGGGCGTCCGGCCCATGACGTCTGGCAGGAAATTGCTTCTCTGGTTGGCGTGGAAATGCCTACCCGGACGTCTTCAGAGGCCTCCAACGCGGTTCTGGCCGCCGCTCTTCAGGTGAGATTGCCCCTGAACGAACGGTAGATTTCCATATTCCGTTGATTTGAAGTCTCATCCCCTTTTCCTGACATTGCTATTTAAACATTGCTATTTAAAACTAATTTAGCATGTGATCTAACATTTCTCTTTTCTTATGAAGAATTTTTTTCGACCTCTTATTACAAGGGGGCCTCCACTATATCCATCTCAACTACTAAATGTGGAATACTTGATGGTTCTTGAAGGCCCACTAGGGTGCGACCCTACTTTGTGGCCTGCTGTAGAGAGTGATATTTCTTCTACATTCATTCATGTGCTGCAGTTATTCCCAAAGTTGTGCAAACTTCGTATAGATGTATCGGTAATCTTATTTTGTGGGATAAATAAGTCATACATTTTCTAGTTGTGAGCTTTACTGATTGATGATTTCATTTTCCGTTTGTTTTTGTGTAGCTTTTTGAAGGGATGGGAGATTGTTTAGACAGGCAGTCAAAACTTCCAGAGAAGCTTTTACGTGTGGCTCAAACACTTGACTTGCTTCATACATTGATTTTGAGTGATGCCTTCATGTGGAACGATAAGAATTTGCTACCTGGGATCAAGGTGTTTCTTGCATGCTTCCCAACACTTCAGAAGTTTATCATTGGAAGAGACTTCAATCTCAAAACTATTAAGGAAATATTGCATTTTCCACGCGCCTCCCCAAAACTCGAAATAATTTTCATCTAAAATTATGTCTTATTCTAATGAATTTAATTTAGATGTTGATTTGCAATTTAGTGGTTCAACCAAGGTAGTTAAAGTCAAAGGGTAATTTGAGTTTGCACCCCATATTATTGTCTAAATTGGACTTTGCACCTTGTTTTTAAAAATCTTTGTTTTTGCACCCCAACCCCATATGAAAAGATCAAAATGCTCTCGATCGGGAATATTGATGGGCCACAATCATAATTCAGCCCAATCAGTCCATTATTTTAGCCTACTTCAAAAAGATAAGTATCTTTAATTTTAATATTACTTATATATATTTTAATCAATATTTTTTGTCGGTTAAATGTCACACTATCATGCACTTATGATCAAATGCCTAGTAGAGTGTGGCTTGAGACCCATCATTAGGATTTAAAGCCCTGACCAAGATCAGGCACAAAGCCCCGACCAAGTCGGGCACAAAGACAAAGCCCCGACCAAGTTGGGCACGAAGACCGGTCTTAGTCATTCCTTGAGTGGCGACCGTTGCTTACGAATGGCTCACACATCCATTCTACTATGTATTTTATCATTATGTTAAAAATCCACATTTCCACTCTTTAAGTAACGAACTCCCGATCGGAAACATAAATCCCAAGAAAAAGATTTTATATGTATGGTAAATGTGTTGGTACAAAGGTGACTTTACTCATTTTCACCTCGTCTCCACTCGCCTCAAAGAGTGGGGACTGGGGGACTGAGGGGTCAGAGTTCCTAGATGAGGAGAAAATATCACACATGAGCAGGAACGAGAGATGAGTCAGATGAAGACGGGCTGAGCTAGACAAAAGTGATCATGCTGGAGGGGGCCTACCTTCCTTGTTTCATGTTGGGGGCGCTAGGTGTACTCTTTTTCCCTTTATTAGGATTTTTTCCCACTGGGTTTTTTCCTAGTAAAGGTTTTTAACGAGGCACCTCCCCATCATTGACAAGGGTGGTGGTCCCCCGGCCGAAGAGGAAGAAACCGAAGACAGAAGAACGTTGCAGTTACAGTTCAGACTACTCCCTTTCACCTCGAGTACTCTCGGCTCAGGGAGTGGGGGACTCCTGATGGAATATATGGACTGCGACCCCCCGGTCTGCCGACTATTGGGCTTGGACAGCGGCCCATTTATCGGCCCATCATTGACAAGGGTGGTGGTCCCCCGGCCGAAGAGGAAGAAACCGAAGACAGAAGAACGTTGCAGTTACAGTTCGGACTACTCCATTTCACCTCGAGTACTCTCGGCTCAGGGAGTGGGGGACTCCTGATGGAATATATGGACTGCGACCCCCCGGTCTGCCGACTATTGGGCTTGGACAGCGGCCAACACACGTTTAGTGGATTCTTATTATTGTATATTATTATTATTCAGATGTTCTAGATTAGCTTTTTATATTATCGGTCCATTTATGTAACTGGGTTTGTCAGGCCCGTATTAGAGGCCCAGACCCGGATTTTCCCTATATATGCTCCTTATAGGAGGCTTGTAAACCATAACTCAAGAGCTCATAGTTCATACACAATACACATTTTCTTCTTCTTCTCCATTACTCCTTTTGATTCTTGTTCAATCTCTCATTCTCTCCTGTTTATACAATATGAGTATCAATTATCCAACAGGATATATATCTAAATATTTGCATATCTTTATTAATTACTTATTCCTTACATAGATTAATTTTTTACTACGAGTATCTTACAATATCAAACTTCTAAAACTATTCGGCATTTGTCCGAAAATGAATATTCGGGATCCTAACTAAATAGAGATTATTATTGATCCCGACAATCTAAATCACAACAATATTACAAATTTTGCGGTTCTGATGAACTCTTTAAAAAATCATGATCGAGACTAAGATTTCTTTTTTAGTAAATAATCATAATATGTATTTATACATTATATTCATTGGTCACAAAGTTTCTCAATGAGTCTACTTAGTTTTGAATTTTAGATAATATATGTTACGCATCCTTCTTTTAGTGACTTTTATATAATGTTTGAAGTAAGTTTTCACTAAGGCTTGATAGCTTATTCAAAGATTATACTATTACTTTATTGAAGTTACAAATAAAAATTATTCTACAAGTATGTACAAGTGTGAATTTGAGATGATAATTATTACAATAAATTTTATAAGTAGATGATAAATGTGGTATGACAATGAACAAAGAATAAGCTTGAAACCACTAAATATCATAGTTAGTGTTTAACTAAATAAATTACATAATTTTATGTTTGATACTTTATTGTCGGGATTTAGCGGGATTAAGCGGAATTCCCGACCGGGATCCCGACTTAATCGGGAATTTAATGTCGGGATCCTGACTTAATCGGGACAGGATGCGGGATCCTCTTGTAGTTTGAAACGGGATCGGGACGGGATCGGGATTTGGGCAATCGGGATCGGGATCATCCCGATCCCACCCCTAATTGTGAGTTCAATAAATTTATTTAAAGAAGTTAAACTAAAAATTTGATGTGGGCTCATCCGCTCATGAAATGGGAAATTGTATGTATGTATGGGAAATTTATGTATGGAGGGGGAGGGGGAGGGGGAGTGGGTGGACACGGTTTCCAATTCGATGCAGTTTGTTTGTTGATCAGTACTAGTTTCCAGTTCAGAGCCATTCTAGTTCCATTAGGCCATCTCTAACACTTTACACCATTTTCATCACCAAAAAAGAATATTCTTTTTTTATCCTTTTTACTAACTTTTTATCATTCTTCTATTTAAGTATCTAATTATCATATATTTATATATTAGCCCCTCATTTAATATTTTGACATTTCACACATTATTTCACACATACAAACTAAAATACACCATTTCAATATGTATTTTCACGCATTTCACTAATTAAAATACAATAATAAATATTTCACTAATTATAATGGTGTTATTAATTGTAATTTTAATTATGTTATTTTCTTAAGTATCATTTGTATTCTGTTATTATGTTGTTTCGATTTGAAACTTTATTTATAATATTGTTGGATTTAAATTTTATTATATTTTTGTTATTTTCTATCAAATTAATAATTTTAATTTTTTGTTCTATATAGATGTTTTTACTTGCACTGTAATTTGTCTCAGATCAGATCAGACCAGATTAGACCAGACTTGGATAGTTATAAAAATACAAAGAAATGAGGCCAGACCAAATCAGTTCAGAACAGACCAGACCAAATCCGACCAAATCAGACCAACAAATTTTAGTCCAAGTAAAAACATCCTAATTTGTTGTTTTAAAAATGGGTCAAAACTATAATAATCAAAACTTTGGGTCACATTTGAAATAGAAAAGAAAAGAAAAAGAAGATGGTGTTGGTTTTGGTGTACGCCATATATGGCGTAAAGCCAAAGGCACTCCACCAAAATGGTGAAATGGTGTTGAAGATGGTGTGGCTATTGGAGCATTTTTTTGGCAAATGCACCATTTTGGTGTAGAAGTTGGTGCTTGTTGGAGATGTCCTTAGAGCAAATCCAATGGGTGGGGTGCATTGCTGCAAACATGGCAATGAAATGGAGTGGGTCTAGACTCTAGAGCAAATGGAGAAGGTCTATTTGGAGTGTACTCCAATGCAAAAAGAGAACAACAAAAAAATAAATGAAAAATTGATGAAAGAAGGAAGAAAGCTACATACCATTTTGTTCCTTGCTTAGCTGGAGTGTCAGAAGGTGGCACCGAAGGTCTATTTGTAGACCTTGTGCTGGAATTTCTTTTGTGTCATCCTTTTGTAGACCTTGTGTTGGACTTCCTCCCTTGCCAACTCACATTTTGAAGGTCCATTAACCTTCACATTGGAGAGTAAATTTGATAATAAAATGTGCATTTGCTAACATGGAACTCCAATGTACCCTTTCATTGGAGATACCCTTAGAAAGCAACTAAAAACGGATGGAGGTCCATTATAAATAGTGATGGCAATGGGGCGGATCGGGGATGGATACACATAAAACCGAAACTGCCCCGTTGGATAAATGTTTGCTCCAAAACCGCCTCATTACCCGTTCGGGTAATTTTTATTTGAACCGTACCCGCTCCAACGGGGAATCGGTTTATCCACGGGTAACTGTTTCCCCAAATGATTCCAAATAACCATTTTTTTTGAAAACAAATAACCAATTTCTAATCCTACTTGTTATTTATACGAAGTATATTCAAAGCACCCTAAAACATAATATACAAAAGTAAATATTTAAGCAATCAAGCAAACTGGCCTAAATCCATTAGTATGACTTGCACCTAATATCTCTTGTAACATAATAAACAGGTAGTAATTATTAGGGGTGGGCATAAAAACCGCACCGAACCGGTACCAAACCGGCCCGTAATGGTACCAAACTGAATATCGGGTATTTAAATGTATCTATAAAATTTTATCCCGAACCGAAACCGTACCGTTTCAAACGGGTACGAGACCGGTCCAAGATTTTTAGAACCGAAAAATACCGGACCGAACCGTTCAAAAATAATGTCTTTGAGATTTTTTTTTCCATACCCATAAGTATCTTTTATAGACCAACAACTTTATAGCCCAAGTATGTATTCATGCATCCCTAAAATAGCTAAATGTGTGTTATATAAATATTACAGAGTATTATTTTTTCTTTTTAGATAATTAATTTATGTTATATTTGGTATATAATGAAAGAATGACAAAGTTTTAAAAAATATTAATGACTATTAATTTCTAGTAATACAAAGTATATGACTTTTGTTGTATCATATTTGTGCAGTTTTATAACTTAATTAATATGGTTTGAATCATAGCTCTTACGGTTCAACTATGAACTACAGAGTTTTGCTAGGTGCACACAAAATGTGTACACATGTCTGTCCTTCACAGAAATTTTGTCTGCCACAAACAAAATTTCTGTGAAGGACAGACATGTGTACACATTTTGTGTACCCCAAGCATTTTTCATGGACTACATTAGAATTAGTATTCAACTTAGAACAAAGAAGAACATTAAATATTTGTGTTCTGTTCAATAATTTAATGATATTTTTTATATGTTCTCGTGAATTTAATAAAGCT